TTAAACCCACATTACAAAGATGAAGGTGCAGCACGAATGGTTGATAAAATATATTTTAATTTGGGTATTGATAGTGAAGATGATGAAACACCTAGTTGTCAAGATGTTAAAGATAGTATAAAAATTGAAGCTAGAAAATTGTACGACTTGTATAATAATTCTAATATAAGGAATGTAGTACATAACGAAGAGCCTCAAAGTTCTAGGAGTAGATATAATAATGAAGATGAAATTGATGATATGATAGATTGTATTATTGAACTTTCTCATAATGATAGAAATGATTTTGATGCATATATTAATCAAAATACAGAACCTACTACTATTGATCTTCTAGAATGGTGGAGCAATCGCGGCAAAGGATTTCCAAAACTACAACCAGTTGCTCGAGATGTGTTAGCTATTCAAGCATCTTCAGTAGCTTCGGAAGGCGCTTTTAGTGCAGCAAGATTTCAAATTGGAGAGCATAGATATTCATTAGCAGCAGATAGCTTGGAGATATCCGTACTATTTAGAGATTGGATTAATGGCGAGAGAAGGAGTTATGGTCGTCCACCTCTACCGACCAAATTTGAAAATGACGTTGATGAAATAATGCTAGATTTTAGTGATGACGGCATTGATGCAATGGAAGAACTAGCTAATCAACCAATTCCAGAGCATGTTACTAGAGAAATGTTAAATGATTTAAAAAAAGATTTCCTTGGTAGCATGAACTATTAAATTTAAATGTCTAATAGTATGAGTATAATAATTCGAGGTCTAATTCAAACAGAACCCTTCCTAGAAGGTGGCTGTGTAGATTAGATTTTTTAATACTCTACTAATATTTTGTAACTCAACTTGTACTATTTAATTAATATTAATAAAAGTATAGGCTATTCGCCTTAATTTTTTTTTATTATTGTCTTCAAAAGTTTAAATTTAACTTTTAATGTGTGAAATTTAAACTTTTATAGTTTTAAAGTTTTAAATTTTCAAACTTTTAAAGTGTGAAATTTAAACTTTTATAGTTTTAAAGTTTGAATTTAAATTTTCAAACTTTTAAAATTTAAACTTTAAAGTGTGAAATTTAAATTTTTATAATTTTATAGTTTTAAAGTTTATAATTCAAATTTAAAATTTCTAACTTTTAAAGTGTGAATTGTGAAATTTAAACTTTTTATAGTTTTAAAGTGTGAATTGTGAAATTTAAACTTTTTATAGTTTTAAAGTTTGAAATTTGAATTTAAATTTTCAAACTTTTAAAGGGTGAAATTTAAACTTTTATAGTTTTAAAGTTTGAATTTAAATTTTCAAAGTTTTAAATTGTGAAATTTAAACTTTTATACTTTTAAAAGTTTGAAAGTTTGTATTTAAAACTTTAAAAGTGTAAATTTTTAAGTGTAATATTCCTAATTTTTTAATTTTAATAAAAAAATATAATTTATAACGGTTGGACCCGGTTTCCGGTCCGGTCCGGTCCGTTACCGGTCCGGGACGGGTACAGGTATTTTTTTCCGGAATTACCGGTTCCGGTCCGTCCCGATTCCGGTTCGGTTCCGGCCCGTGGTGCCCGGTTCCGTTCCGGTTCCGAAACGTCCCGGTCCGGTAGTTCCGTTACCGGTTCCGTTGCCACCCTTAGGCACAAGTATGCATTAGTACATGGAATGTACTAAATATGAAGCAATACGCATAAACATGGACATGAAAGAGTAATGGTTTAAAGCATGTAGACATGAATAATATTTGAACATTTTGAACATAAGGAAGTAAAACATGAAAATCATAGGATATAGTCAATGCATTTAAATAAAGGACATAAGAAAAGCTTTGAAGAAAATATAGTCATTTTGTGGGATCTTAGCTTTAACCAACAATAAGACCATGAGAGCTATATCATAGAATTTGGTCTATTTTGTCACAACTCGAGCCTACACCATAGACGTGGCCGACATTCGAGAACTATTTCTGGTCCCCAATCGAACCATTGGCCTGGCTAACCACCTAACAGAAGACTTACTCTAGCGATAATAGGCTTAGAAATAAAATTAAGAACGTTCAAACTCAAACCAAAAACTCTTAACTCAAACTATCTATAAATACTCAATAATATGGGTATAATATTTTGCAAAACATCTTGAAGAAAATTGAAATAGGTTGGGTATCTCGAAGGAGATCTATTCCGAAGTTGATTTCCCTCTTGGGAGGAACTTCAGGAAGATCTTATGGGAACATTTCTGGAAACTCATTTACTACTGGGACTGACTCAAGAGTTAGGGTTTTAGAGTTTGAATCATTAACCCAAACAAGATGATAGATATACCATTTAGAAATCATCTTCCTAGCCTTAAGGTAAGAGATAAATTGACTTATAGGCACTGAGCTACTACCCTTCCACTCTAAGACTGTCTCGTTTGGAAACTGAAATCAAATGATCCTAGTTCTACAATCGACTGAGGCATAACAGGAATGTAACTAATCCATGCCTAGAATGATATCGAAATCTACCATTTCTAACTCTACAAGGTCTGCTGAGGTGACTTTCTGAGAGACTGTGATAAGGCAATTTTTGTATACTCGTCTAGCTATAACTGGGTCACCAACTGGAGTAGAGACTGGGAAGGGTTCAGAGAGAGTTTCTGGACTGACACCGAAGTTTACTGCTATATAGGGAGTTACAAAAGAAAGTGTAGCCCCTGGATCTAACAATGCATAAACATCTATTCAAGCCTTCTTCTGTGGCTATGACATTCTAAAATTCATGTCTCATGGTTTTCTGGTTCTGTTACCTAAAGTTGAACATCCCAATAAGTTCAATGAGTTCAGACCCATTAGCTTGAGTAACGTCACCAATAAAATTATTTCCATGATGTAAATGTTGTTATGACATTCCAAAATTCATGTCTCATGCTTGTCTGGTCCTGTTACCTAAAGTTGAACATCCCAATAAGTTCAATGAGTTCAGACTCATTAGCTTGAGTAACTTCACCAATAAAATTATTTCCAAAATGTTTTGCATTAGATTGGCTCCTATTCTTCCTAATCTCATTTTAGATAACCAATTGGGATTTGTTAAGGGAAGGAGAATATCTGAAAACATCATGTTGGCTCAGAAAATCATTCACAATATTAAGAAACCTAATGAGGGAGATAATGTTTAGATCAAGCTTGATATGGCGAAAGCGTATGATAGGGTATCTTGGGCTTCCACTTATATTGTGATGAGAAAAATAGGGTTTGGTAAGCCTATTATTGACATGGTCTGGAGGATCATGAGCAACAATTGGTACTCTGTTATTGTGAATGGAACTAGATATGGATTTTTCCGTTCTACTAGAGAACTTAAACAAAGTGACCTACTATCTCCGACACTATTTATCTTGGGGGCATAAGTTTTATCTAGAATGTTGAATATGCTTCATCAAAATAAAACTTATAAAGGTTTTCATATGGAAGTGAGAGGCCCTCAGATTAACAATTTAAGTTTTGCAGATGATGTGAGAATATTCACATCTAGTCACAGAACCTCTTTACAACATATTATGAAGACTCTATATGCTTATGAAACAACCTCTGATCAGCTCATCAATAGGGCTAAGAGTCATTTCATGGTTCCAACTAATGCCCCCCTCAGGAATCATTACTTTGGTTCAAGATATCACCGGTTTTACTAAAAAAGATAGTCCTATCAACTTTCTTGGTTGTCCTCTGTACATAGGAAGGCAAAGAATCATATATTATTCTAATCTTGTGGAAAAAGTGGTGAAGAAGATCAGTGTTTGGCATTCAAGAGTTCTCAGTTTTGGTGGTAGAGCTACATTGATCAAAACATGTTCTACAATCGATCCCAATCCAGACCATGGCTACCATTTCACCCCCTAAAACCACCATCAGGTACATGAAAATGGTGATAGCTGATTTTTTTCTTGGGTTGGAACAAAGAAAGAAAAAAGTATCATTGGGCGTCTTGGGAAAATCTCAGCTACCCTTATGAAGAAGGGGGAATAGGGGTGAGACATCTTGAAGATATTTGTACTTTATTGCAATTCAAACAATGGTGGGTTTTTAGGACCAAAAATTCTCTATGGGGTCAATTCCTGAAATCCAAATATTGTCAAAGATCCACTTTGGTGAGCAATAAGATTGATACTCGCCATTCTTTAGTTTGGAGATATTTGATGAAGAACATGGCTACAATGGAAGCTCAAATCATGTGGAAATTATATTCTGGAAGTTGTTCATTTTGGTGGGATAATTGGTTAGGTTAAATCACTTTATCTCAACATTGTAGCAGCATTACTAGCCTTAATAACATCACAATTTCTCATTTTTTTATCAATGGGAATTGGAATGAATCCATGGTAAGAATGCATGCCCCTCCTTTACTTGTTCCCAAAATTTTAAATACCATCATACACCACCAGGAGAACAGTCCAAATCAGGCAGTGTGGGTGTCAAATGTGAATGGAACTTTTTCATGCTTATCTACCTGACAGCTTATCAGAAAAATGAGGAATACCAACTTTAATAACACTCACATATGGAATAAAAATGTCCCCTTTAAAGCTTTATTTCTTATTTGGGGAGAATTGAGAAGCAAGCTTCCTACTAATGAGAGAATTGCCAACTTTGGAAGTAAGATAGTCAAGGGCGCTTGCTGCAGAATTCAAGGATGGGATGACATAGACCACATATTCATTTCTGGCCCTTTTGCTAATCATATCTGGGCATTCTTCTCTGTCTTGTTTGGTTTTAATCACATGCACTTACCTCTAAAAAACCATCTGATGAATTGGTGGGGTTTGGAAACAAATAATAGGGCTCATAAGATGTTAATTCAAGCCTTTCCTATCTTCATCTCTTGGAACTTGTGGAAGAGTAAATGCGCATCCAAGTATAGGGGAAGACAACTAAGCATTCCTAGAGTCAAGTATCTTATTCTCAAAGACATCAAGAACTTCCTTAGTTGTACATCTCCCTACCTTTAATGGCCTAATTGTTGGATTGTTTTAATCAAAATGATAGAAGGGTGCTCGCAAGAAGTGCAGATCAAGGAAGTCAGGTGGATGAGACCTCCTGATACCATTTTCAAACTTAATACAGATGGGAGCTCTTTAAATAACCCTGACAGCATAGGAGGAGGGGGCACTCTCAGGGATTCTCTTGGGAAAATGGTCTATCCTTTTACCATTCCTTTAGGAGTTGGTACCAATAACCGGGTAGAAACTTTGGCAGCAATACATGGTCTTCAGTGGTGTGTACAACATGGCTACAAGAATATTATTCTGAAGGTTGATTCCGAGTTGCTAACCAAATGGATTGCTCAAAACATCAAATCTCCATGGAAGCTGCAATATCACATTAGAACCCGTATCACACCAACTAATTATTTGGAATTTTTCCAATGCAAGCATACATATAGGGAAGCCAATAGTACAACAGACTTCTTATCGAAAAGAAGTCATAAAACTGATATAGTTCATGACTATTATAACAACCAACAACTACCAGGAGCAGCAAAAAGAAGTTATCTACTAGAGGAAATGGGGATGATCAACTTTAGAAGGAGGAAATTGAAACGAATCAAACAACCACCTTGAATTGATGTTCCTTCTTTTTTTTATATAGATGTCTCTATAATTTTTGTAACCTTTTAAATCTAGTTATTTCTCATTTAGTCATAGCTCTTGTTTTATAGGACTAGCTTTTATTTCTTTTCTTACTTTTGTAAGGGGAGTGTCTCCCTTATTTATGTTTCCTAGTTTCTTTGTGTCGAGAGGAGTCCTCTCTTTTAGGTGCATAGTTATTAGGTTTCATTTGTTTAGTATGGGGATGAGTTGACTACCTTAGTAGGAAGGTTGACTTATGAACCAACATAGTATCGGAGGTAAGGTTTATTTCCCCCTACTTGTATTTTGTTTAATTTGCTTTAATGTTAATGCCTGGGGGTGCTGCTCGTCCCCTGACCCCCTCAAGGGTCGTTAAAATAATTTAAAAAAACGTACCAATGACCACATCAGGAAAATCTTCTTGGTCCTGGCAAGCCTGAAGAGCATATAACCTATTCTAGCGATGACCACCACCTATTCCAGATGAAGCACCCTACTGAGTTGGGTGACCTGTTGGTGCTACTGGAGGTGTAGACTGAGCCATATTGTTGTTACCTCTTTGCCCTTGCGTGGCAGAATGGCAATCCTTCAACATATGGTCAGACTGACCACACCCAAAGCACCATTCCCTACTTGCAAGACACTTGCCCGGATAGTTCTTACCACACTTTCGACAAGTTGAGAAAGTCATATTACCTGAAGTAATCCCCTGAGACTTAGAACCTGATGTCCTACCTTTTTTATCCTGTCGAAACCTGGGGATGGAGCGCTAGCTGATGAAGGTGTTGGGGCTGTAGACCTTTGCTAAAGCTGTGAGCGATTCCCACCACCCGACTTTTGCTGTGAGTATTCATAATTTCCTGTTCTAGACTTTTTGTTATCCTTAGCCATTTACCTAAGCTTATCTCCTTCAACCTACTGAGCATGAGTCATTAGTCTGGAGATATCCATATCCCCTAGAAGTATAGCATTCTTGCACTCGATCCTCACCACTAGATCGGATAAGAACTTGCTCATTTGTGCCCTTGGATCGGCAACCATGTGTGTGGAGCATACCTGGAGAGCTGGGTGAACTTCAGCCCGTACTCTTGGACCGACATCGAACCCTGTTTCAAGTTCATAAACTCTTAAGCTTAGCTTCTCTCAACCCGCTTGAGAAGAACCTGTCCAAAAAAGTTCCAATCCCAAGTCACAGGAGCTGCATTTGCACCCATGTTGTCCTTCCATGGAGTGAACCAGGTATGAGCCACATCCTTAAGTTGGTAGGATGTCAGCTCATGTCATTTACAGTCACTAGCATCACATCTAGGATCTTTTTGACTTCATCAATGAAGTTTTGTGGGTCTTCACCAACCTACGACCCTAGAAACTCAGGCGAATTCATCTGAACAAATTCTCGAACCCTAGTTGCAGTTGCTCCACCATTAGTGTTTGTAGGAACTGTGGCCTGCTGATTGTTCTGATTGGCTACACTGTGAGCTAAGAGCTGGATTGCATTCCGAAATTCTAAATTTGTAACCTCATCATGGTTCGGGACTGGAGGAACTATATTAGCATTTCATGCATTAGCATTCTGTGTGTTAGCTCTACGATAAGGCATAATCTGAAATGCATAACGACGGATTAGAAAGAAGAAGTTGAATCATACCTCACGCACGATAAGAATAACAAAGAAGGTAAAGTTTTTCTTAAAACACTTTGTAGCCTCCCCCTCATAGATGTGGCGCACTTCACACCCATGAAAGAGACTCTACTTAGTGTGGCTTTCAGACACCCTAGGACTCTTGAACCTAATGCTCTGATACCAAGGTTTTCACTCCCCAATGCTACCTCTTTGATGTAACACGGGACCTAGGATCACGAGTGACCTCAAGTTAACCCTGAGTCTGGCATATCATAAGCATACTGAAAATAACTAAGTAAAACATGAACTATGCGGAAGCTAAATCAATAGATATCTAAAAAGGAACAAGCCCAACTAGTCTGAATGTAAATATAGCATAAAATCTAAGTTTTAGTGAAGACTGAAACAACACTTACACTGAATTTACTTTTCTATGTCTGAAAAGCCTCTACTAAGTTGAGTTGGTGGTACATGCCCCAACAAACTCTAACAAACTGAAAACTGAAAGTAAAGAAAAAAATGAAAACATGTCTATTGTCCTCAAAATATGAGGACTCACCGCTGAAGTTGTTGAATGCGGACCGAGAATCGATCTATATGTGATCTGGATGCTGAGTACTTGAACCTACATCATGGAACGATGTAGATCAAAGTATGTGTTAGTACTTGGAATGTACTGAGCATGCATGATATATATACTATGCTGAATAAAGTATATAGGTTGACCAATACATAATTGAGCAATGATATAATCTGAACAAAGATATAGATATGTACTGAAGTATAACTGAAAAGAACTAATTGAATGTAATGACCAAGTACTAATCATAAAGGTACATGTTGAACTGAATACTTAATTATATATACTGAAAAGTTGGTCAATGCACTAAGAGTCTAACTGTGGGAGCTACTATTAATCGACATAAACCACGTGAGCTAAACGTGGAGTCCGATGTATATGCCCCATCGAGAGGACCCAATGTACATTGCCAAGGGTATAAAGGCATGACTGCAGCATGATCACTAATACTGATTCCAAACAGATGGGACTTATAATCCTATGCGGGCACGTAGTTCTGGGACTATGAGGGTACGATGAACCCTAGTCCAACTCGGTGCTAAGTCTACTCCCAACTAATTACATATGTAGTTAAAATGCATTAAATACTAAATAGCTTAAAATACTAACATGCTAACTGAGAATGCAACATTTATATACTGAGAATGTGACATTTGAAATCTAGAGCATGATTTTTTGTTTAACTGACCTAGCAAGTATAATTCATGGACTAAGAGAATTTAAACAACTAGGGTTTTGAGTTTTATACAAGGATTTAAGAAACGTTTCCAAGAAAACATGTTATTTAGACTATGGATACCATAGCAACTGAAATCACCACAATTCCCAAGATTTTGCAAATTTTAGGTCTAAACAAGTTATATGGAATCAAGAAACTAACTGAATTCTAAGGACCCACTAGTTAAATCCCACATACCTGGTGACGAAATTCATGGAGCTGAAACTTGAAGAACACCTCTGCTTGTTATTGGGAAACTAGCGCCTCTTTCTTCTCTTTTTGCTCTAAGTTTTGGTGATTTTTGGAGAATGAGGGTCATGGGTATTTTCTTACTAGAATATTAGGCTTAAACTGAGTAAAACGACGTAGTTTAGGTATTAAATGACGTAGTTTAACTGTCCAACGCATAGGAAAAAGACCAAAATGACCCTAACTTAAAGGCTGACGAGGGCCATCCACGAGGGCCATTGGCGAACCATCATAGGGACCATGACCCGTCAAGTGGGTTGTGGTTCTTGGCCAGTGCTACTGTTTCTTGATACTCCCATCCACGGTCCACTTCACGGGCAGTGTGAAGGACCACGAGTCGTGAAGGTCATCGTGGTTCTTCACCTAGGGCGGGGGTCCACTGGTTCAAGTTGACGGATAATGCCACAACTCGTTAGTGGGACCACATCCCATCAAGGGAGTCGTGGTTCAACACTTGAGCCCTGGTGGCTCTACTTCACTTTCACAGCCCACCCTACGGCCCGTGGAAGGGCTAATGATCCTCCATTTTTTTCTAGTTCAACCCTTTTACTGCTGATGCATCTAAGTTAGGTTCTGAGGTGTTACATCCCCTATAGCAGAAAAAATAACCTACAAATAGTTGTGGAAGAAATAGAAGTTTTGTATACTAAAGAACCTAACGTAATGAATTCAACCATTCCAACAGCGGTATGAGTGGTGGACTGAGAGGTGCAAGCTGTAGAAAGGAACAAAAAAGAAGATCAATTTTCAATCATCCTTACTGAAACTTTTAATAGAGTTCAAAAAAAGTCACCAAAATAGCAAAAAGAAATTGCAATAGTTACATGAATCACAATGACTTACAGTAGAGACTAAGCTTTCATGAAATAGGATGAAGAAAAATTTGAAGAATGAAACTCAATTCATAAGAAGCTTATGTATTTAAACTCGACTCCCCTATAGAGGAAAAAAACCTACAAATAATAGTCGCAAAATAGAAGTTTTGTTTACTAAAGAGCCTAATGTAATGAATTCAACCATTCAAGTAGCGTTATGTGTTATGGACTGAGAGATGCAAGAGTAGTAATGTCACATTGCAATTGAAATCAATTTTCTTTGTTTATTCTTTATTCTTTTGGTGCCTTGGAATTAAGTGTTGGGTTTCAAAATGTTTGAATGAAAGATAAAGAGTTTTGACTTTGGTGAAAAGTTGTGACTTTTGTGAAAAGTTGTTGCTTTTTTGAAAAGTTGTAACTTTGGTGAAAAGTTGTAACTTTGGTGAAAAGTTGTGACTTTCATGAAAAGTTGTGACTTTTATGAAGAGTACTGACTTTTCTAAAGAGTTGCGACTTTTATGAAAAGTTGTGATTTTTTTGAAAGGTTGTGACTTTTATGAAATTATGCTTTGTGAGGGCGCCACTAGGCAAGTCGGCTGTTGTAAGAAGTCATAACGTTTATGAAGAGCAGCAAGAGTGGTAAAACAATGAACCGGAGAAGCGATTGTTGAAGGCTGAAGCGGCGTTGTTAATGTAGAGGGGAAGGGTAATTTTGGAAATAAATAGATAAAAAGATAATTCTTGCTTATGGTGGAGCCACGTCATCGGATTGAGGGTTCTATATATATATATATATATATATAAATGATTTTTTTAATAATGTTCGGCAAGGAACAGACGATACTAGTTGATTCTAAAAGTGGAAAGAAGAAACACACTAGAAGAGAGGTTTTCAAATTTGAATCTGACTCCTCTTCATTTTTCTTCTCTTTATTTTCCTCAAGTTTTCACTTGAATTAAGAGTACATGTCATAATTTAAATAAATAGTTGAGATTCCATTAATTAAAAAAAGTTTTAATTGTGATTAATATAATTAATTGCTTTCACATATTTACTTCTAAAATATTTTACAATCCCACAATTCTCGATTTATATTAAATTAATTAGATCTCAATTATAAGTTTTAAATTATGACATGTATTAAGAACGGTAAAATTAGGAATGTGGTTACACCAAATAAATAAGGAGTGACCTTTTGGTGAATAAAATGAGAGAAAAGAGAATTCGTTGTTTTGGACATGTGAAGCGGAGATACGCATACGCTCCAATAAGGAGGTGCGAGAGGTTGAATGTAGTAGGCACAAGAAGAGGTAGAAATAGGTCAAAAAAACATTGAGGAGATGTGATTAGACAAGACATGACATGACTTCAAATTACCGAGGACATGCCTCAGATAAAAAGGTGTGGAATCGCGTATTAGGATAGAAGATTAGTAGCTAGTGAAGTGTTTTCTAGCTTTCGTCGATTCAGACTTGTTAGTATTTATCGTTATACTAGTTGTATTGATGTTATTCGATTTTTTTTTATCTCAGTCATAATTTGTTTACTGAATTTCAACTACTAACTAAAATCATTTTATTGTTATTCGTATTCTTTCATTTAGGGATACACTATTTCCCTTATTTGTTGTAATATATTTCTATTCTTTCTTTATATCAAAATTATTTTATTTGAGCTAACTCTATTAAAAAATATAGTGGTAAGATATGCGTATAACTTCCGTAAACGTATGTGTGAAGAAGTCCGTTGTAATAAATTCCCAATTATTTTTATGTAGGTAGGGTTTCGGTTTGCGATCTTCCACAAATTGGATTATAGCTAGATCCCGCTATTCGAATACTCAATCGATTTATGTTCATGTACTGCTATTTTGTTGATTATCCGTTTGAATATACAATTGCGATCAACAGGTCTGTTTTTTAATCCATACTTTATATTTTCTTCAATCTGTTGAAAGTTTGGCTAACAGAATGTGAAATTGTGCTTATTTTAAGCTAAAAAAAGATGTATGATTCTGTCCCATTACTAGATTAGTTTATTGTATATCCATTCTACTCTGTTAATCATAGATAGACCATTTTTACATGGGTTGTAGTACTCTTTTACGTTTTATGAAGCTCACATTCCAGTGTTGGAATGATTTTCTGAGGAATCATTATAGTTGAACCTTTTTTATGCTGTCAAGTTTCATGCTTTATCCAGACTTGGAACTGGCTAAACTCGCATAAGACGTGTTGGGACTACAAATCTAATATCATCTTGAAAGGCTTACTTACCCAGTTCGTTCTTTAACTGTATGTATTGTTTTGGTTGTCTCTTTGCTTGTGCGTTTGAAACTTCTCTAATTTGATTTTGAAAGATAATAGGAATTAGATTGAAGTGTTTCGCAAATGCACCTGAAGGAAAGAGGCAGTAGTATGGATAAAACATTTGGCCTTTTAGGAGTTAGATCATTCTCTTTTTTCCTGGACTTGGGAAGATTTAGCAGCAAACAAGTTTAAGTGACATGATTATTGTAACGCGTACCTTTCTAATTCCAAAGTACAAATCACAAACATGTTTAACAGACTTGAATTTATCTAGTACGTACTTCTCTAACACCAGGTTTCATTCTATGCAATTATGCAATGAATGGCATCCTCATCAAGATTTATGTTTATTAAGGTTAACTTAACTATATATGCATCTGCTTTTCTCCAAATGAAGCCGATTTATTATTTCTTCATGTTTATTATTCAAGCTAATTTGGCTTTCCAGATGCATGATAGCCATTAACCGTCTTATATATGGTGCAGTTTATCTTCTTCGGATGGTCTGTTGATACATTTTTGTGGGTCCTTTGAGTAGGTTGTTCTGAAGTTTCCTCAGTTTTTGATGGGTGCACCTAAGCAGAAGTGGACTTCAGAAGAAGAAGCTGCTCTTAAAGCTGGGATACTTAAGCACGGGCCAGGTAAATGGCGCACGATTCTCAAGGATCCAGAATTTAGTGGAGTATTGTGTTTGCGTTCAAATGTAGATCTCAAGGTAGGGGTTCCTGCTATCATTTTTTCCATTAGATAATTATATTTGGTGCAGAGGAAGTTTGGAAGTTATTTAAACCAAATGATAGTTGCATGGTCTAGTCTTATTTTAAGTTTCTTATCTATGCATGTGGTGTTAATATGCTTGCCTATTCATATTTATTGATGCTGTTCAGGACAAGTGGAGGAACATGACTGTGATGGCAAACGGTTGGGGTTCTCGGGAGCAAGCAAGGTTGGCTGTCAAAAAGATGAGACAGGCACCTAAACAAGATGGGAGTCCTATGACTGATACTACTGCTGCAGAGAGTGATGAGGAAACAGCTGAAGCAAGGCCTGTCACAACTTCTAGTGGATCTCCTCAGGCACATGGTTCAAAACGATCTATGATAAGGTTTAGCACTGCTGATTGATTGTTGCAGCGTAGCTCTTTGTGATAGTCGCTTAGTTTTTATGGTGCTTATGATATAGTTTCTTGTTGGATTTTGCATGTCCTATTATTCTTAGGTGGCATTTGCATGTTTATTAGAAATATTTGTTGGAGAAGCTTTCTAGAAATATTTGGGAAACAATTTTTTTCCTAAATTTTTTTAGAAATGCTCCAATTTGATTTCTGAAGTGCATATTTGTTTTCTTTGTCAAACATGTTTGTTTGGAAACCAGCAAGTGCTTTGTTTAAATATAACATGCATATGATACTTCTATATGTATTTTTTTTTGTTGAAACTGGTAAGGTTGTATTCTTCAGCTTTAAGTGTATGCTGGCTACCTACAAAGAGGTTCATTGAGTTTTCCTTTTCTTTACTCAGTATGAAATAATGTTACCTGTCTTGATGGGATCACATATTATTCTTATTTTCATACTTTCGAATGAGGATTGTCTCTCATAGTTGCTGCATTGATAATATTATAGGTTGGATAATCTTATAATGGAGGCTATAAACACCTTGAAGGAGCCAGGTGGTTCCAACAAGACCACAATAGCTGAATACATAGAGGTAAGTGTGTTCTTATTTTGTGCTTTCTTGTAGAAAAGTAACTAGATATAATCTAGAGTACCAATCATTAATTATCATGCAGGGAAATCTTACAAAATTTTCAGAGACCTATAAAGGACTGAATTTTAGGTATTGATTCTTGTTGTGCAGATAGCAACATTATGAACGATGTTTGTTCTTCTTGTATTTTTTAACTATGAGGACTCGTAAGCCTCAGTATCATCAAACCTCTTAAGTTCTTTGTTCACAGTTTGTGCGTGAAGTTTTTTTTTCCTAATATTGTTTTTCTTTTTAATTTTAAACTCTTGACTGTTAGAAGTAACAGTTTAGGATGAATAAATACAGTGCAATGGGGGTCCTAGTGTAGCATCTGGTCAGTATATGCAGAATATTAGATTGCATCGAGTGCGCATAGGTCTGATAGGGCCACATTAACTTTTTTGCTTCTGAACAGATGATCTTGATTCCATAGAACAAGGTGTTAGGCTCTGCTAGTGAAGTCCTCACTGAACAATTTATGGGCTCATGCACCCTGTCGGCAGCACCAAGTACTCTGGTCAATACATGTATGTTCAATAGGGTGTCTGCTTTAGTATATGCAGAACATGAGGTTGCATGAGTCTAATATAAATCTGATACTGCTAGACTAATAATTTCTTCTCAATGTATGATTGTGATTTCCTTATACTAAGGGGACGTTTGGTACGAGGGATAAGGAATAATAGTCCGGGACAAAACGTAGGATTATTTTATTCTACGTTTGGTTAGGGGTATTAGTTAGTCCTAACATTATTTATCCCATCATTTGTACTACAATGATGGGATAAGGTAAAGGGGCTTTCAGTACTACATAAGTACTGATTTATAATACAAATCGTTACCTTCTCAAAAAAAAATGATGGGATAAGTTGTACCATATATATGGTGGGATAACTAATCCCATGAGATATCTGAGTCCACGGGATAACTTTGTCTATCTCATCCCCTATGTAGTGGCTTTATTGATCAGGTTCTCAATGATCTACGATTGGTGTATGCATCCTGCCTGACAATATTTTTGGTTAATACATTTATGTTTAATTGGGTGACATCAAAACTCATCTTACAGATCTTAGTTGATGTGTAAATGTCATGATTGCTGAATCTTAGTTCGTATCAAAACCAGAATTTATGGCTGCATCTGTCAGACTATTCTATTGAATGCTCCACTCTTTCTATTCTTTTAGGACCAGTACTGGGCACCTCCAAATTTTAAAAGGCTACTGTCCGGGAAACTGAAGTATTTAACTGCAACTGGGAAGCTTATCAAGGTGATTTTTATTGTGTACCTGACATCTCTGTTACTGGCTTATTGATCCTCTCACCTAACCCTAGAGTGAATACAATCAGAATTGGAATTGGATTCAAGTGTTTTTATGCCTAGTAATTTTTCTTCTTGATTGATCATAATAGTATATTTTCTTTTAGATGAAGCGTAGGTATAGAATAGTACCTACGTCAACACCATCTGACAGTAGAAGAAACCTGTCTATTACACTTTTGGACAGCAGGCAGAGGATCTTCCCTAAGATTGATCAGGATGATATGAACATGCTTAGTACATCTCAGATAGATTTAGAGCTAGCTAAAATGAGGAACATGACACCTCAAGAGGCTGCAGCTGCTGCTGCACTAGCGGTTGCTGAAGCAGAAGAAGCCATAGCTGAAGCTGAGGAGGCTGGTAGGGAGGCTGAGGCTGCTGAAGCTGATGCTGAAGCTGCACAAGCCTTTTCAGTAGCTGCAAAGAAGACATTACATGGGAGAAGCGCCCCAAGGATGGTAAGACATCCTTTTATGCCAATTATTTTGTCACTGTCTATCATTTTACTTGTCTCTCCTTCCTATCTTTCATTTTATTGTTGTTAGAATATGTTCTTCCTTATGTGTGGAACCATTATTGATTCAGTGTCTAGAAATCATTGCTTGAGAGCATTTTTTAACTAACAGGAATCGTGTAGATCCGTAATCTTTACTCATCATTTCCCCTTCACTCTACTTGAAACAAGATTTTTCTAATCTACTATAGTACAAGTTTTAAAAACAGATATTCTAAGTTAAATATAAACCTTGCTTCTTAAGACCTCATCTTAACAAGTCTCAAGTGAAACCTGGAGGAATATATAGGAGTGGGTAGCAATATTTGTGCCTCAACCGGCATAATCTTTCTCTGGGCCTCATTAGCTTCTGTTTCAGCTTGTCTCTTGATCAATGTTAAATTTTGACTAATTCGTATAGAGAACTGCTTCACTTAGCTCTGGATAGTATAATTGCATCTAGGATGGCCATGGGGTGGGGCAGGTCTCAGTCTATGCGGGGCGGGGCGGGGTGGGTTGAAACAATTTTTTAAGAAATTTAGCGGGGCAGGTTGCGGGTTGAAACTTTTTCCTTCGCTCTTCTAGTCTAATCTCTTAACTAATTATTCTCTTCTCTCTTTCTCTAAGGTTTTCAAACAAGTACCTTGTATGATTTCTTAAAATCAATATTTTTAGCCAGAACAAAATTGGTTTTTAGTTCTGGAAATTTATTTGATATTATTTGTAAACGAAATTGAATTTGATTTATTTTGGATATATTGCCACCTAAAGGTTTAGAAACTGTAAAATTTGTGTGTTTTAGCAAAATAACAACTGAGTTTATAATTAAACTAGATCTTTATTCTTAAAAAAAATATAATGTAATGTTAAATTATGTGTTTTAGCAAAGTAACGAAATGAAGAAAAGAAAAAAAGTAGAGATAACATAAGTGGTGCGGGGCAGGTTAAAATAGGAGAAATGTTAAAGCGGGGCAGGGCGGTTTAAAATTCTATGGGTTAAGCTTCAACCCACCCCACTGCCATCCCTAATCACACCAACCTACACTTGTGTGAGGAAGTGGAAGTTGTAGTCTTGTAGGCACTGCATACTCAACTTCGTTTATTCTAATTTGAGATAAGTGTCAAAAACACACCTAAACTAACCATATTTTGAGTTTCATACCTAAACTACAGAGAGTGTGAGTTTCATACTTAAACTATCACTTATTGCTTATTAGTTTGAGAAAACACCTCTCTTTTATTACACTCTCTTCATGGTGTGTGTACTACACTCTCTCTCTTATTTTAAAACATTGGCACATCACACTCCACAGTGACAAAACATTCCACCTTTGACAAAATTAAATAAATTATTAATATTAGTTAAAGTTAAAGATAAGTATTACTATCCCCAAAAAAATTATATTTTTTTTATAAAAAATATATATGTACATATCTAACACAAAATGAGAAAAATGTAAATAAATAAATAAATTAGGAGCGGAGGGTTAGATGGGGTGGGGTAAGATTTTTATTTTTTTTATAAATAAAAATAATATTAAATTTTATTGGGAAGGAAGAGTGAGTGATTTGGGGGGTGGGGGCGAAGTATGAATTTTACTCTTTTTGGAGATAGTACTCCCTCTGTTCCATATTAGTTGATCATTATCATAAAAGTAGTTGTCCCATATTAATTGATCACCTTGCTAAATCAAGAAAACACTAATTAAAATTTTTCTATATTACCCTTGCAATTAATTTTTTTTTAAAGTATTCACATTTGTTTGTAAAATTCCAAGAAGAGTTTTTAAGGGGTGAATTAGTAAAATTATCTTCTTATTTATGATTTCTTAAGCAACGTGCAAAATGAAAAGTGATCAACTAATATGGAATGGAGGGAGTAATACTTTAATCTTTAACTTTTAACTAATATTAATAGTTTATTTAATTTTAATCAAGATAAAATATATTTTATCCATGTGGAATGTCATGTGACAGTGTTTTTTCAAATAAAAGAGTGTTACACACACCACTGAGGTGTGTTTTTCAAACTAGTAAGTGAAAATTTAGGTATGAAACTCACACTTCCAATAGTTTAGGTATGAAACTCAAAAAAAGTGATAGTTCAGGTGTATTTTTGACATTTATCTCTTCTAATTTTGCATGAGAGATTTCTAAGCTCTCAATGTGTTTCTTTTTCTATGAGATTTTTCATTTTTACTTTGTTGGGGAGGGGAAGGGTGGTTTTCTTTTAGTAGCTGATTCATTTGGTATCTCTGTTGATCTTGTTGATTACAGCAGGTTGTTGGGATGACAAATTAACTTGACATCAATGCTTCAATGAGAGCAAAATAAAAATAAAAGTAGACACAGACAAGTATTGATATGTTTGTATTTATCTGCTTTCCTAGTTAGGTAACTACTACCTATCTACACTAGGTGCTTTACAAAGTTGATGGAATTTCACCTAAGATGTTTACACTGGCTCGATGCAAATTGATTATCCTCACTGATGTACTATGTCCAAAGCCTGCTACGCTATTATTTCTTGGTTCTTTTTCTGATTGTCTCTCTAATATCTAGATGATACATGCTTGATCTTTCCTTTGGAGGTGAGGTGGATGTGCGAGTTAGAGAATTGCTAGATCCCATTCCAGTTTGATGTTGTATCCTCACAGCTTGTACATACGGCAACAAGTTTCATGCTAAGTGTAATCTACTGGGTTGTTAGTAGTAAAAGTGTTTTTGATTGTATCAGTGTGTTTCCTGTTCACCAGAGGACTTAACCAAATCAGATGTCTCCTTTTTAACCGTAACCGTTTCTGCTAGCTGAGTTCCCGAGGAACAGGAATAACCCCGGGAAGGGGGTTGTTAATGCATGGATGTACTGGATGCTCTATTGTTAGTGTACGACGATTTATTATTTATTTGAACTGGATTTGGAAGGAGAATAAATTAGTCTAAAGTAGTTTCTGGCCAATGTCTATAAGTGGGAATCAAGAAGAAAATTATGAAATTAGTTCAGGAGACAAGCTTGGGCACATCTCAGATATATATATATATATATATATATTATATGTGGTGGATTCTTTTCAATCTACTTTTATGATTTCAAATCCCTTCGACAGAAATCAATACTTCAAAACAGCCCATGTACTACAGGAATCTTTTATTTTTTACCTATTTGAATTGATTATTTAAGCAGATATGTATATTTAGCACTAAAAAGTATTCAAAGTTATATTCCTAATACCGAAATCAGAGTGTTACTTTTTCTGTCTATTTTTACTTGTTTATTATATTAAAATAGTGAAATAGTCTAATGGATCCTTGTATTTGTATGAGTTTGTATTATGGATTTTCATACTCATCAGTCATCACTATTTCATCTTAACTCTTAAACTCAATAGAACACATATTTAAAACCCTTCTGACCTTTACCGAATCTATGTGGCATGAATGCTACTAACATGGAAAAATGTATGATTGTACTCGCTTTTAAGTGCATAAATACAATATTTTATATTTAAAAACATCAAAAAAAATTTAAGAGAAAAGACATAAAGTCACCACTGAAGTTGTCTCGAATTTTTGAAAAGATACCTTAATTTTGCGGGTGTCCTATTATCCCACGAAACCATTTCTAACAATTATAAATACATTGTTTTAACCCATTCTCAGAGTAGGTGTAATCTCACGTATTGGGGGCGCGTGAATGAAAAAAATCACCCCAAAATCAATCTAAAATGTCATGTAGCAAGATTGTAAGCCTCCATTTCTAAAAAAGTTCAAGAAACAGAGGATTTTTTGGTCAATGCCTTTCATGGTGGTTGTTGAAGAGCAATTTCATATTTACTTAAGAATTTAAGAAGATTTTATATGATTCCTAAGTGAAAATCTTCACTGTTATGTAAACAGTGAAAACGAAGGATTTCACAAAAATCTCATATCCAAAATCTTTCATTTTCCACCTCTGCAAAAACTCCATTTTAGCTCATTCCATCTCCGTCTTTTGCAACAAAAACAAAAAATAAAGCTACAACAGTACGACGCTAAAAGAAACCATCAATTGAAATTCCAAAATCATCTCAATGACTTTGAATTATTTCCTCAACAATGCAACAACTCGTCAAAGACTATTTTCACGAACAATTTATATCTATTAAACTCAAATTAGTTAATGCAACCATTTACATTGAAGTTTTTGAGTTTGTACTCATTTGGACTTGACCTAGAAGATTTTGAGGATCAAAATGTGAGTGAGTTAGGAGTTTATCCAATTCATTATTAAATGAGTAAGAAAAATTTTATTTGAGGTGAAACACACACACAAGGTATGAGATTATAAAAGCTGTAAAAATGGTGTATTTATAGTTGTTGGAAATAGTTTCGTGGGGTAATAGGACACCCGCAAAGTTAAGAGGTCTTTTTTGAAAATTTGAGACAACTTCAGTGGTGACTTTATGTCTTTTTTCTCCTTTTAAAAAAAAATCAATTCTGGAAAAAAAATTATGTCTTCTTTAACCATCTCCCCCCTCACCCCCACCCCCTCCCCCCACACCAGACACCCACTCCACCTCACCCCCCAACTTTTCTTCGTCTCCAGAACTTTCCCCACCCCTATACCCTCAACTTTCTTCTCTTCTTCTTCAACAAATTCACCTACCACTTTTTTTTTTCTTTTTTTTTGAAATCACCTACTACACTCTCTGTTTCTTCAATACACTCTCCTCTTTCGCAACAAATCAAAACTCTACCTCTAATCTCTTCTTTCTACCTTTTTAAATATATTTTTTTACTATTCTATATTTTTAAAATATGGAATAAGGGTCTGAAAAATACCTCAACTTTGGTCGAATTTGTTGTTGCGATACTAAACTTTCATAAGGACCTATTACCTCCCTAGACTATTTAATACCGTATTTTTTACCCCCTGAACTATTTAATAGTGTATATTAAAGGTATATATGTGCCCACGTGGACACATTACTATTTATAATTTTGCATTATTTTTTATGTCCACGTGGGCAAAGAGTTGTGATTTTTTCAATAAGGCACAATAAACATGTGTTCACACTATCATTTGTTATCCATAAATAGAGGAATTTCTTCCACTATTATTTGTAGGTTTTTTTTTGGGCTATAAGGTAGTCGAATTCAAATACATTAATTAAGTTTCTTATGAAGTTTGTTTCATTCCTCAAAGTTTTCTTCCTCCTATTTCATGAAGCTTAAACTTTACTATAAGTCATAGTGATTCATGTAACTCTAGCAATTTCTTTTTGCTATTTTGGTGACATTTTTTTAACTTTGTTAAAAATTTCAGCAAGGATGATTGAAATCGGAACTTCTCTTTTGTCCCTTTCTATAGGTTTCTTCATATGAACAAACAAAATTGATTTTAATTGTAATGCCACATTACTACTCTTGCACCTCTTAGTCCACAACTCATAACGTTGCTGAAATGGTTGAATTCATTACATTTGGTTCTTTAGTAAACAAATTTTTTATTTCTTCCACTGTTATTTGTAGGTTATTTTTCAGTATTGGGAAGTTGAATTCAAATACATTAATTAAGCTTCTTATGAAGTGTGTTTCATTCCTCAAAGTCCTCTTCCTCCTATTTCATGAAGCTTAATCTTTTACTGTAAGTCATAGTGATTCATGTATCTATTGCAATTTATTTTTGCTATTTTAATGACTTTTTTTTAACTCTTTTAATTAAATTTGTGAACTGTAAACTTGGATACAGCCCAGTCGACTATCTTTTTAAAAAATATGTTAAGCAACATGCCTTTTTCTTCTTGATTGTTAGAAAAGTAAGGTCGTCTTTATTATTATTTCTGGATATTTGTGAGTTCAAGTGCTCACAAAATTATGTTGTGAGATTTTAATATGTTATGCGTCAAAATTTTGGTTTAGAATATCTAGTTGTGAACAGTTCCATTCAGATGACACCTACTGCTTGGTTGATAATTGCATTAATTCTTTGTAACTGCATACTATAACCATAACAATAATTATGGTTCAATTCCAAATAAGTTGGGGCCGGTGACATGAAACCTAAGCAAAAGTAATGATTATTCTGAGACAATGAGGAAAAACATTTATGATACTAAAAATTTTAGGGTCATTTTAAACATATACATGATATGACATATTATAATAAAAAAGAGATTGATGGAGGTTCATAAGAAAAGAGCCAAAGATCCTCTATTTGAATTAAGTTAATTATGTTCTTTTAACTTGGGAGTGTTGTTGTTCGAGGCTTTTTGATCTCTTCTTTAACGTCTGATGTTGTTCTTTATAACTTCTTGTAATTTAGAAAATTTCATTATTTATGAGAAACTATTTCCATGGATATTTTCTTAGCCTTCTATCTTATACTTAAAATCTCTCTATGACTCATAATTTTTTTATAACAAAAATAAATTAAAAAAATATAGCAATTTAAGATTTCGGAGGAATGCTTTGCCTTAAGATAAATGTTCTTGACAATGTAGTGTATGTATCGAAAATACAAATATAACTGAATGATCATATCTAAGCTTAATAAAATAGTTCAATCCCGTACGAAGAACGGGTAATTTACCTAGTTAAAAATAATTTACTACATTTACTTGTTTGGTTAGAAAAATCAAGAAATAATTTATCATATTGTACCTATTTAATCCTTATTATTAAGTATTACTTTCTTTGTCTTAATTTATATGATATATATTCCTTTTTAGTTGGTTTCAAGAAACATGATACATTTTTATGTGTTAAATATTTAATGACACTATCAATATTTATTCATATTTAGTCTCACTTATTTGGCGAACAGTTCACAAAGGTTCTCTTTTAAGGGTTTTTTTGGAACATTGTTAAGTCTTTCTATATTTCTTATATTTTATGCTCAGTTACATTACATCACACAAATTGAAATAGAGGGAGTAATAATTTTCAATTAATTCCTCAACATTAGATGACATGTAATAATTATAAGTGATATAATTAAACCAATGTTCTATTTAGTACTTCTTAAGGATTGTGTCAAATTAAACATGGATGAACAAAACGGAGAGAGTACTTAAAATAGGTTTTGTACGAGACATTTTTCAACTCTTTCTCATCTCTTCTTCTTTATTTATTTTTAAGACTAGATATAGGACCCCATGCGTAGCATAAGCTCAATATATGTTATTTTTGTGTGCTAATTTATGCGACACGGATGGAACAATCAATCAAATCTTTGATATGATTTTAAAATTATCAATTATTGTGATTTCTAATATTTTTACGAAATTTTCAAATAATAGATGTAACTCCAATTATCTCAAGTTATGCGGCATTAACAAAATTCAAGAGTCAATCAAAATTTATAAATATTTTTTTGAATATTTTAAATTGTTAATTATTAAAATGTATAGTACTTTTTACGTAATTATTAAATATATAATTAAACATATTAAATTATTAATTGTACTCCTGAAATATTGATTCGTAGTGTTGACTTTTTGGTAGAAAATAAAAATTCTGCATAGAGAATTGGACACAGGACATAAAGCCTAAACCATTAAGTCACCAAGTTGTTGTATAAATAAGACGACAAAATTGAGACCATGACCTAGTAGTTGAAGCTACTCAATTGTGCCTTCTTATATAAGAGAAAGTACTACTATTAGAAGGAAAAAAAGTTCTCTATATATAAAATAAGACTCATATTTATCAAACGTAGCAACAAAAAAAATATTCTCAAAAAATATAAAATCATATTACGAATCTCGTTTTAAGGCTTGGATTTTTTCTTATAATTTTGTATATTAAAATAGATATAAAATATGTACATAGTTTCATAAATTTTATATAAAGTTTAAATTAAGTTTCTTGAAAAATATCATGCTTCGAATCCACCCAAGATATTCAATCTCACCCACATTACATATATATATATATATATATAT